TCCATTTAAAGTGATTCTCTTCAAATCATTTTTTTTTACGAACTTGAAATCTAACACGACTTTATTCACTTTAGATAAGAGTTCGATAAAATCAATTCCAACTTAGTCTTTTTGAAGAATTCATTGCGAATCAAGATTTAGTTTAAAATTTTCCAATTCCAGTTTAATGTTTTTCTCATCTTGTAAAGATGAGAATATTGGAAGCCATTGGCATAGTTTAATTCCGAAAAAAATGGCAATTTCACTTTAAAAGTTTTACTGAATTCTACCTTAAAGAGAAAAAGAAAGGAGCAAATTGATTTTGTTCAATTATTTTGCATCTCTAAAAGAGAATTCAATTTTTCAAATTATTTTCAAAAAGAGGGGACATTGCATTAAATTAATATTTGCTTATTACGTTGTCGTCAATCATATAGAATTTAGCCCCATCGTTTATTACGATAAAATCAAACGCATATACGAAATTAGATGCAGTGGAAATTTCTAAAATCAACTACTGTTTGCTTCAAGCATGGCAGCTTTGTTATGAAAGTAGGATCTCTCTGAAAGGTTCTCGCCATAAAGACAATAAGGATATAACTACAATATAACTATTATTTAATGCATTTAAATATTTTAATGCATTTTAATATTTTTAATGACATTTCCAAGTCGTCCCTAAATAAAATTAACTCTGAAGCAAGCCCACTTCTAATTAGATTATCTTCAACTGCATAATGAATTGCCAACATGCAACTTTGAATACATATCGAAACATAATTTAAAGGAAATAGTTTAGTATCGTATCCTATATATTAATTTGAAAATTAATTAATTTTTTTTATTTTAATTTAATTTTCAAATTAATATATAATATTATTACAATGAATGATTACCTACGAGAGTGGCGCCAGAATGTCTGCTAGGCATGGTTGTTTTATAACCCCATAGTAAAACCCGATTAATTTTAATGGTCCTGGGAAATTCTACCTCTGGAGTCAATCTGGCTCTAGACGTCCGCCACTCGGTTAGTGGTTTAGAATCTCCAACGTAGATCTATTCAATGGACTTCCTGACTACAACAGGTATATAAAGACTTTCTCGAAGTTGCACCAGGATATTACGGGAAGAACTTGGTCAGAACTGTGGGAGATCAGAATTATGGTAGAACTATCATGTGGAGAACTCTGTGGATAGACTTTGATAGTGTTATAACGTTGAATGTTATGCATTGAAATGTAAATAATGTATATAATGTACGTTAAAGAACAACCTGCTATACCTTTTAAATTCTTCTAGACACCACCGACATTTTACACTGCCACACCTACATTAATAATATTTTTATATTAAATTGCATCATCTAAAATAAAACAGGCATTTAATGTATTTCTTCAGACCGAAATTTATAAAAGTTTAGAAAATAATTAACAATTTTTCGGTTCGTGCCAAAGTCATTGAAGAGGTTGAACTAGGCGTTTATTAGAGATTTATCTGATCTTGAATCTGTAGGGGTATTCTTCAAACTTTAAAAAAAGTCTTTCAAATGGTATTTATTAAATGTGTGATTGTGATAAGCCTTGTTAGAATCAAATTTCTACTTTATCTTATAGCATTGTATTTTAAAGCTATCCCTAATTATTTATTTACGAGTTTTTAATTTTAATAAAAAGCAATTTAAGAATCAAGGTGTCTACTAGAAATAAAAGAATCTATTACAAGGTACTAGACAAAAAATATGAAGATACAGTAAACTACAATGTTGAAAGACAGTAGCATTTCTCAAAAGAGAAATAATTTCTGCAAAAGCGTGGTCAAGGTTAGATTATTCAGCAATTACTTTATTCAGAATCCTATCCACAAGTGCTTTAAAAGTAAGTTATTGTTAGCAAATTAAAAAGATTATAACAATTTGAAAATAATTTTGACAATGTGTAACAATGTATCCCACACGTCTAAGAATAAATATCACTTAGATATAACTGAATATATAAAATTAGATTAAAGAGAAAATAGTTCATGCAAGACCACAACCACAAGATTATTTCATTTAAAAAAAAAAAAAAACTTAACTTCTATAAAGCGGTTAAGGGTAATCATAGAGCCAATTTGAATGTGACATCTCCTGAAAAGGAGACAGAACTTCTCCACAAAAAAAAAAAAAAAAAAAAAAAAAAAAAAAAAAAAGGAAAAAGATACATGAATACGGGTAACCCTCAGGTCAAGAAAGAAGTAAAAACAAAAAAAAAAAAGTAACGAAAATCCCTAGATTGAGGAGAAAGAAGAATCGTCTACGAAGATCCAGAAAAATAAACGAAATACAAGTTCAAGAAAATGCTTCTGTGTTTGATTCTGTTCCGAAAATTGTGTTCATCCGCCTATACATGATTGGATAACAATGCAATGTTTGTGAAGAATGATGTTGTGATTTGATATGTATTGATTTGGTATGTTTAATGATGTCATATAATTTTTGTCCTAAATTTCAATTTATGTTGCTGATTTTTTTCTGTTGTAAGCGCACTAAAAAGAATACATTGCATTCACAAACTAGTAGATTTGGTGGACAATATATTATTAGAATATATTGAATTTTCTGGTTCTCTCCAATACGATAAGAAAGTGCAAGGGAGTTACTACATAAAGTCCTCCATCAAGCATAACTCATCTCATCATTATTGTCCTATAGGACATAGAGATCCTTATTGGCATATAATAATCATTGTAAACATTGTAATAATCATTGTAGTAAACATTGTAATAATCATTGTAGTAATCATTGTATAGTAATCCTTGTGCCTCATTGTAAACCCTATCCGATACACAGGGAAAAGTGAAGTATTTTAAGCATTCGAAAGATGTTTTCAAGTTCATAAAGAATATAATGAAATAATTTTTAAGTAATTAGATTATCTGTAGATATATTGATAAAACAAATATTACCCTATCTCTTATTTCACTGTTTGCAGAAGAAAAAAAAAACATTTTAAATTAATTTTTACTTCAAAATATTTATATTGAATTATATTACTCATTATAAACAATCTGTTTTAATATATATTACCATATTAAATGTCTATAATTATATGATTGTGTATTAAAAAACATATAGGAAATATCCACAAATTTCTTTAAAAAATATGTGTATAAGTTTATAAATATATTTTAAAGTGAAAAATACATTTAATAATTTGCTTAAACTGATTTTCAAAATTTTTCTATAGGTTATAATATCCTTTTTAGCTTTCCAGTACAAATTGGTTAAATTTTCCAATCTTTCTCTGTAGTGAGATATTTAATTTCCATCTTCACAAAAAAAAAAAAAAAAAAGCATTAAAGAATTATGATTTCACTAGTTTCCATGCATTTAGAAATAAGTCATTCAATTTTAAATTACTCAAAATGGATATAGAGTTTCTTCAGTCTTTATTAAATTAAACTTCACTATTTGAAAATTGATAAAAAATAAATTATTTTAATCTTCTAATAAAAGGAAAAAAAAAACTGAAAATATTATCTTAAGGTTTAAATATTTTGATTTTAGTTAAAAAAAAAAAAAACTTTAGTATGGGAAAAGTTAAAAAAAAAAAAAAAAATTTAAAAGGGAAAAAAATCTTGCTAAACGTGTCCCTTAGCATTTAAACGGTTGGTTGAACAAAATTTAATCTAACAGCCTTATACCGATTTTAATTTAATTTCAGCTCAAAAGAACAGTTCTTATTTTTAACATTTTTTTAAAACTTTTTTTAGTTTTTGTTCATCGTTCGTTTTCTTATAATAATACTATTAAAGATAAGTCTGTGAACAAAACATCATAGATACTTAGCATGAAGTTGTTATTCGAACTTTTTCTCTGTTAAATTTTAAAGCACTAGAGAAAAATAAAAAATAAAATGATCTTGTGGATGAAAAAAAAAAAAAAAAAAAAAATCTTAGCTAGAGTTTTTTTTTTTTCAAATTATTTTTAATTTTCTGTTTCCAAGAATTCTGGTTTTTTAGCTTTGTCTCGGCAGGTTGCTTTCTTAATTAATGCTACTAGTTAATGCTACTAGTTTTAACTTTAAGGAATGCTGAGTGATTAAATTTCAGGTAATTCTTTTTTCTGCATATTTTTAGGAGCAAGATTACTTTGCGTGGAATGGATGAATTTTAACATACTTAAAAATATTTTTGAAGGACCTACACAAGTTAAAAATAACTTGAGGGCTACAGTGAGGAAGAATTAATAATTTTTTTCCTTATTATTATTGTTTTTGGGAAATACTTAAAAACTAATTGTGCTTCGGTAAGTATGGATATTAATTAAAAAAAAGCGAGATTATTTAAATAAGCTCAAGATAATTAGTACTAGTTAAAATGTAACTATTATTTAGAAAATAAAATAAAATTATTTTTTTTAGTTTTGCAAATAAATTTTTCTTAACAAGTTCGAATAAACTGAAATTAAAAAAATAAATAAATAAAACACTTAGACAAATGATACACATTTACTTTTAGCTTGTTTAAATTTAAATTTTCTTTCTAAGCCTGTAAATAAGGTTTATTGTACATTTAATTTTTAAAGATTATTAAATTTTTTTTTATTACTGTAAAGTAGTTTGCTTTTTATTGCATCTTTTTGCTTAAATTTCTAGTAAAGAATAATTTTCTTTAAAGTAGACTTTTTTTCTACAATTTTTTTTATAACCTAGATAACTTCGTGTTGAGTCGATGAATTTTATAATGCTTAAGAATATTTTAAAGAACCGCTGTATTTATAAAAAGCTGTTATTGGAAAAATTTAAATTTTTATTTTATTTTTTTATGAAAATATTAAAAACTAATTGTGCTTTTTTGATAACTATAAGCAGATTTTAAAAAAAGATAATAAAATAAAGATACTCTTCTTCTTCATTGCCGCAACAGCTCCATGATGGGCCAAAGCCGTCGGACTACTAGCAGAAATCGAGACAGGAGATATTTTTTAACGAAATAGGGTTTTCAGCCCTACGCCCAATGCTCTACAGTCATATTAGACTTGGGGCCTGATGGTCCAGTGGCTAGGGCTCTGGCGCTCGGTGCCACTGGTTTCGGGTTTGAATCCCGATTGTGCCATGGATATTTATAGTTGTTCTTAATCCACTTTAAATCGTAGGTCCCGGTCTCATAGGACCGTAGAGCGTCACAGAGCCCAATCAGACTTCTCCCCCACATCATTCCCATACTGTAAAGGGGAACTCAGCTCTAGGCACAGTGATGTGGTGTGATGTAATATCAGTAGTCATATTAGATCAAAACCTACGGTTTAAAGTGGATTCCAAACCACTATAATCATCCATGACACCGCTGGGAATCGAATCCCAAACCTGTGGCATTGAGCACTAGTCACTCGGCCATCAGGTCCCTCTCAAGATAATTAGCACTAGTTTTTGTTTGCTGATATTTAAAAAGTTATAAATTTAAATTTTATTTCGAGTTTAATTATTCTTAGCCCTTTTTAACCATATTTTTTTTACAGAAGGCGATAAAAACCGTTAAAATAAGATGCCATATATAATGCATTAAGCGAATGATATATATTTTCTACAGCTGGTTTTGATAAATTTAATTTTTCAGAGGAAAAATGGTATACACTTTTTTCCTGGAATATTTTTGATCTTTTCGCTTTGCCCTTAAATATGATTTTAATGATTGTTCTTCCTTTTAACTCCAATAAATAAATTGTCACATATTTATTTTTGCAAAATTTTGTATTACTTACACTAGAATCAATTAATTTTTATTTAAAAATATAATGAAAAGAATATAATGAAATAACTTTCGAGGAAGTCATGTTTATAAATTTTTTTACATGGCATAATTAAAAATTTATATTGTCTTTGGTGAGTGCAATTATTATATTTAAAAATTAAATTTAAGATAATTAGTGATAGATATAATTCAAAAAAGATATTTATTACATTTTTTTCTTTTAAAAATGTTCAGCAGTAGTTTCAAAAGTTGAATAGAAAATTTTAAAAATGTACATATTTTCAGGAAATTTCGAAATTTTATTTCTTAATTTGCTTCATTAAAGCTCGAGTTAAATTTTGAGAAATTGTTTTTGGGGACTTTTTTTTTTAAAAACTCCGCGTCCGTGGAAATACCAAGCAAATTAAGTTGCGCATTTTAATTGATTGTTTTTTTACAGACATATAATATATATATATATGCCGTTAATAGAAAGTCATTATATTCTTTTTTTATACATATATAATTTGCTATTCATGATAAAAGAAGTTTTGTTAATTATATCCTTTATGAAAAATAGAGTAGCCTGATTTGAATAGAAAAATCTGATTTATCAGGCTAATAATAAGTACTTAAAATCATTTATAATTAATCATTAATTTCTTTGCATTCATAGTTAGATCATTTAAATTTATAAGTAACTTGTTTATTCTTTTATAATTAAATGAATATTTTTTTTATTTTTTATATTTCCATCGATTAAAAATTAAAAAAAAAAAAAAAACTTTTAAATAATAATTCAGATATATGTTTTAATACCTGTAATTAATTATCTGAAAAGTATTCAAAAAAATCATTTCGTTTTCTCAAAATTATACATAAATTTATTTTTACATTTTTTGATCTTTAAAATCTCAACTAATCCCATAAATATATTTCGTATAATTTTAAATACAAAAAAAAAAAAAATTATGACAGTTATGTTTTAAAAATAGATTTTTAACTAATAAATGTTTCGAATATTGTTTTCTTCTCAATTATAAAAAAAACATTCTCTTATTTATTATTATTCGTTTTTTATTTTTTTTATTCCTTACATAACTCGAGTACATCCTATTTTGATTCATGATAATTGCTTGTTACAAGATGTAAAATTATTATTCTCCTAAAAAATCCATTGGATGAAAAAAGAAATACTACAAGATCAAATTACATTTTTTAAAGAATGTGATTTATTTATGGCAGTTCAAATAAAATTCCCCTGGTTTCCCTAAATTGAATCAAAACGTCGTTTCAATAAATGAAATAAAAAAGAAACTCCACAAGCAATGTATTATGCATTTTCGCCCACTTATTAAAGAAACAGGCACATTGTTGTTTTAATATTTTCTTGGCTGCCAAATAATTCCCAGAAGAAACATTTAAAATTATGAAAAATTGTTTTCTTTCTTCTTGAGAAAGGAGACGTGATCCTGAATGTAATAATGATAAATAACGTATATTCCATTATCTCAAGTGCTCTAAATTGAGATATAAACACATAAAGAATAAAAAAAGATCAGTTTCAATTTATATATAATTTATAGCGGTTTCTTTTTTTATTTCTTCTCATATTTAATACTTTGCCATTACTATAAAAGTAAACTTAAAATTGAAAGCAGCCTTTTTTAAAATACTTAAAAGTAAATAAGCTATTAAAAGGGAATGCTTTTGAACATAAAAAGCTATAATTACTTCCTTTTTTTGCAAAAAGGGTGTATAAAATATGATGTAAAAATACATT